TGACAGCGTAATTTTAGGCATAGTAATGCATGTAAATTTATGGTAGAAAATGCGTTTAAGAAGGTAGGCTGAAAACGTGCAGCCAAGTGAAGTACTTCACATCAAAAGATGAACTTATCATGGGAATATACTTGTATTCTAAATTTTCTGACTTTAAAGTTGATTTACTTAACAGTCAATGTCTGGAATAAGTATATGCACTTATAATAGTGAATCATCTTTTGGTGCGATTGTTAAATATTAAAAAAAATTAAACACTTTGCATTTCTGTACATCTTAATAAATATTGAATGAAAATTTGCTCATCTTCTGTATGAAACTTATTTGTAGAGCAGGAATTATATTTTTAGTATGCTTATAGCTTAATAAAATGTGTTTTGTGTTAAACTGTATAAAATATAAAGATATGTTAAATGTTCATTAAAATGTGTCAAAAATTTGTGTAATTTTTTATGATATTACAACATACTTTGATAGTTCTTTGGCGGAAATCAGCATCGATGAATATGCAGTATTAATTGATATTTCGTTTTTTGCTTTTTCTAAGTATCAGTCAGATCCCATTTTTTTCCTCGCGCCCTTTAATAAGACTGTAATTTCATAGTACTTCTAATCTTCCCCTTTAGAATTTTTGACCCCCTCACTCTTCTTCTAGTATTTCCTCAATATAGCTTACTATTACAGTATTTAATCATAAAAAATTAACAAAGTTAAATTTATAAAATCAGAAAAATCTAATTAATAGCTTTTTCTTTCTAAAAAAAATTATAATTTTGTAGAAATTCCTATTAAAAGGATCTGAAATCCAGTTGTCCTCTTCACTTTGTTTTGGAAAATAATCTTTATATGACCCTTGAAAGCTTTCTAAGTCAGTTGTTATGTTCTCTTTGACTTCATTTGTTAGTTGAAGTTCATGTTCCGAAAAGAAGTTGAAAAACAACTCAAACATTTTGGGCTGATTTTTTATTTCAAGACACGATTCCTGAAAATTTAAGTTTTTGATCATGGAATCGATTTTGTCAAAAACTTTTAAACAATTATAAGACTGTTCTGAAATTCTAAACTGAGTTTATTTATGTTTAAAAAGTAATGAATAATTTGTAAATACTCGAAGCTGTTATACATAATGGAAACTTCAAACTCAATTGGAATGGGTAGTATTCGAAAAGTGCATGGTGGAGACTCCAAAACCAGAACTCTTATCCGTATAGTTTAATTTCTGTGATCTACCTTTTAATAATTTATAAATTTTTATGTAAATAACATTTTACATTTAGCAACTTTAGAAACGCTCAAACTAATTTCAAGCGAAACTCTGCATTTAAAGTAAGTTGAATGTCAAAATTGTATCGAAAAATTTACATAACTGACTTGATGATTTACTTAATCCTGAAAATGTAGTTAGCCGCCAATCATTTTATACATAGCAGTAATATTCCAGAAACAGGGATGAATAGCGTAATATTACATCTGCAGTCGGAGCTACCTACAAATAACTGCATTGCATTTGTACACATTTCTGTCAGTAACGGTTATATCAAAAATCCCCACAGTTGTTTTCCCTTTTGGAAAATAAAAACTACTGATGTATGTTTTAATTATAGCGGGTTCATTCAATGATTTTAGGTTAAGTTCAGGATGAAATAAAATGCCTATAGTAGTTAGAGGCCAATATCCCCCCCCCCCAGAGCTAAATAAATAAAAGTAAGGGCTGCAGTTTACAAGATAAGAACCTATTATTGTGTTGAAAAAAAAGTTGTTGCAATGCTACTTTTGCCCGCAGCCTATCAGAGACAGAGGTGTTGAGATTAATGAACATTGATTGTTGGACCTGTGTTCAAATCTAGTCACACGGCTGGTTACATGAGTGCTTCTATATTTTATACCTTGTATGACATAAATACAGTTAATTTACCTTAGAAAATCCTCCACGAAGGAATTCCTTAGGCAGATAGCCCTAGGCCCTCGCGTATTCAAATAACCAACCATGAATGTTGCCTTATTGAGAGAAGTCAAGTGTTGTTACCCTACCGGCAATTTAGCGCCGATACTTCTGGTTATCATATTAGCAATTACTGTTACGCAATCTATATAATATAAATTCATATGCGAAATAGTTAAAAATATTGAACCTCTAAAGTTTGAATTTCATTGGATCTAAAGTAGCAAGAAATGTAAACAGAAACGGAATGCCAATTAAAGTACATATTTTTGAATTAATGAAGTTACGATAACAAAGCTTGAAAGTGAAACTATTTAAAATTTTACGTATCACTGTATATATATTTTTAGTACTTTTCATTTTCTACTCATTTTCAAACAGGATGAATTTTATTTTACTTTGAGAAATAAAATTTCTGATGTGTAATGTTATTTCACAATTCAAAAGAACGTTTCATCATGAGGAGCAGAAGATAATGACTGATTACAAGGACGCACAGCGAAATATAATTTATTTGAAGATACATTTTAAAATAATTGTAAGATAATTTTCTCATTTCAGATAAAAAGGTAAAAATGTTAAGAGAAGTTAGTTTCTCGATTTATGTTCATTTGATGTGTAAGAGAGATTATCAGATTTAGCTCTGTTTAAACCAGGCTGCCAATTTCTACAGGCAGAGATCCCGTTCTAACTCAAAACCATGGAACGAAGTTACATGTGATAAAAGGAGCAACCATATTACTCATTTGCTTAACATTATGCTGAGTAAGTTGCATACTAGCGCAACCTTTCCATCTGACAGCAATAAAGAAACAAAGCCCTGTTATTTATATTGCACCTGAGAAGAAATCTCTGCATATCAACTTGCTTCCTCGTAAATCAGTCTGGGTCGAAACCCCTAAATTCTGAATTGTTTCGATCGTGTGAGTTAGGCAACTAATGTGAGTTAGGCAAATTCAGATCATCTTTTATTCCTGCATGTTTTAATTTGCAATTCAGTGCAACTCACAAATCATTGCTCATTTATACAGATGATAACTTACGTTTGGACTGCATTCATTTCCAGCTCTTTTGTTATTGGTGAGTTTGTTATTGGTTTTTGTTCCGTAAAACTATTAGTCATAATATCATTCATTTCACATGAACTCATATATCAATTTTGTTCATCCTTAATCCTAGAGTATAAATTATAAAACTGTATTTTAAATATTGAATTTATAAGACACTATGCTGAAGCATGCTGTGCATATTATTATATGGAAGTATATACTCTTAATACTGCCGTATTTAAATCTTTACGTCTTTACATTCTATATATGATTATATTAAGTGTTAGGCAGGAAGTAAAAGAAAAAGTATATTTATCAAGTAGTAGGAAGATGCAATTGGCATTTTATTTATGTAACTTTCCTCTAGGACATTTACTTATAGTCTTATTCAGTTCGATCCCAAATTATCATTAATGAGATGAGGACTTTATACCTAATCTAGCCATTGCATTACGGCCAAGAAGAAGGATTGTCGAACAAGAAAATACAAAAGCAAAGAATTACTATCCTAATCCATAGATTTGCATACACGCCCTTATACAATATAGTATTGAACTCTGTCAACTGTTTTTCTTGCGTATTTTAATCTAATGGTAAACTAATGTTAGAAATAAGCATTACATTTGATTTTCATCGGATAGCAATGATCAAACTTTCAAAGCTCAGATGAAAATGTTAAACTTTACCTCAAATATTACTGCACACAGAAAGAGTTTCTAAACTTCTGAGGGCCCAGCAGCAGCCGGTCAGACCACTAACTACTGGTGTTTCGTAAAGGAACACCAATGATCGACTCGGGCACTATATTCGATTTTGGGTTAATGGACTGATTTGGGGAGCGTTTTCGTGGTTTATCTTTTTCTCATGCGTAACGTGCATAGAAGCTAGATTACTTTAGAAAGTCCTCCACGAAGGCATACATTCCCTTAGGCAAGTAGCCCTCGCGTGCTTTGTCATAATCAAATAAAGCAAACGACTCGGGCTCAGGTTCTGGCAAACAAGTTGGATGCATGAGCTTTTGTTGTTTTCTTCGTATGTATCCTGAATACTAGCCATTTTACCTTAGACATTTCCCCATAAAAGTATCTCTTCTCTTATGCAGGTAGCTCTAGTGTACTTTTTCTAAATTCTAACAAATGCATTCCAAAATTCAGAACCATAATGAATAGAATTTCAGAGAAGTGTCAAAAAGTGTAATTATAATAAAAGTTTAAAGATTGCCTATTCTTAAAATCCTTTTTAAAACTTCTTTCTTTATAGTATAGCACAGAGTTTCTTAAACTGTGGGTCGAGATCCCCATGGGGGTGGCGGGACCTGTAGCAGGGGTCGCCAAAAATTTTAGCAGTTTTGATATTTCTTTAACTTATAATAATTTTACAATTACCAAATATTTTTTCATAATGTATCAGAAAATAGATAAAGATAAGACAATACAGACAAAGAAAAAATGAAAATGTTTCGACACATTCTTTTTGTAATATAAACATTCATTTTACTTGCTCTGTACGTGACGCTGTCATTTCGTCTGCTACTTATTTAAAGTTTTCACGTTGTTCTATGTCTAAAAATTAGAAATTGAAGTTAATGACCTAAAGCTGAAATAGTATATTACAGTACAAGTGAAAACACTGACGGTTTCACTCACGCTTGTGTCGGATTTGCGCAATGCTTATGGGTTCCCACAAAATTTTCGTAAATATTATGGGGCCCTGTGGTCGAGAAAAAAATCTCAGTGATAAAAAGGGGTCGCGACTGAAAAAAGTTTAAGAAGTACTGGTATAGCATATAAGCTACGTTTTCAATATTTAAGTAATATCAAAATTTTTCTAAATATTTTTTTAATTTTGCACTTTTAGATACATATTTTATTACATGTATCAAGTTAGTATATCAAAATTTTAAAACTTTTGTCCCTCATATAGTCAACTAATACGATATGCTCAAATAGTACTCATACAGAATAAATATGACTTTTATGAATATTAATTCATTAGATATTATATATAAATGCACATTAAATGCTTTATTGAAAATATTCATATTTTTTACATGACTTAAAATATCTTACATTTAAACAGTAATTATATGAATTGAACAGCAATGAACTTCTTTGATTTCTTTTAAAAAGCTCCATTTGTGTATCAATATATATCAAACACATTTGCCCTTCTTCTACTTAATTTGTTGTACTGAAATTTTGGAGCGTTCTACACATTCCTCCTAAAATTAAAAAAAAATGTACTGATTTAATTTGAAATATTTCTAAAGAAAATTGAACAAAAAAGTACAACTTAATACCATTATGAAAAGCAAAGCATTTGTAAAGATTATAGTTTTGGGTTTAAGACCCAAAAAGTGAAAAAAATTATTTTGCCAGCCCATTAAAAAAAACTACATATCTTTTCCTTCAGTAAATCTATTAAATCAGTATTACAAAAGATTACACATTGTGCTATAATACCAACTACATGCTGATTGATTTCCTTAAGACATGTATACTGATTATGCCTCTTGTAAAAAATACCTTCTAAGAACTGATAGTAAAGAACACTAATTTTGTACTTACATTTTTTAAAGAAATTACGTTAATTTGTTTAATTATATATTATATGTACAGGCTTAAGAGCTAATATGAACGATTTTTGAAAGAAAAACTTTGATAATTGTATAATGCTAAAAATCAGTTACCTTTCTGCTGTATTAAGTATGTGTATACACAATAAGAAAAAATTATTCAATAAATCATAAATTGAGTATTATATTTATACATGAAAGTTCGCAGCTCACTCTGTATTATAATTAAAATATTTTCATCAACACAAATTCGAAAGACTTTTCAGTGAACATTTACTTTATGAAAACATTTACCTTGTGGAACTATTTTCATCAAGAGACTTTACAAAAAATTTTTCATGACATTCAAAACACACTAGACATTTTAACAACTTGGGGCTTTAAAAATTATATTTGCGTTAATTTATTATTTAGCTTTATTTAGAAATTATATTGTTTCTGTAATATTCGTAAATTATATGTATTTCGTAATCTGTATATGAGAAAGGTCATGAATCATGACGGGACATAGGAAAACCTTGATGTTTCCTCATATGATAAACTTTCTGTTCCTTCGTTAACTCACTAGTGCTTTTTCTGCCACACTCCTATCCCAACCTTTCTTTTGAAGAGGGGGGAATATGTAAGATATAAGAAACTACGACAGCTGCTTTAAGAAATAATTGGCAATTTCAAAATTAACTATTCTAGATATGTTCTCCCCCCTAAATTCATCTGCTCTCCCAAATTCGAGATCCTTCCATGTTATATAACAACCTAAAATTAACTAATCGCAGATTAACTGTACTTATACATCAAACTTAATATAAATACTCTTAGCCCAATAACTACGCCATCCCTTTCCCTAACATCCACCCTGCAAAGAGCTCTGTGCAGCTTGTGCTGTCCTGTCCGAAATGCTTACGTCGTACTTTTAAAAACCGTGTCATTTTAACAAATGGAAAAAGTTGAACTGTATAGTTTATGAATGGAATAATTTGTAGTGTTTAAAACCAAAATAATTAAACTATATAAATCTAGCGAACGAGAAAGGTGTAGTGCAATGTGAAAAAAATCAAAAAACTGTATAAGGTATTTCTCCCACTTTCCTAGCGTCCTTCGTGGTGTAGCGGTTCTGCACGCTGGGCCGGTATTCCAGAGGTCCGTGGTTCGATTCCTACTTGTCTGCTTTAAAAAATTTTCATCTTGTCTGCTTTAAAAAAAATACCTAATGTCTCTACAATTGAAGAAGCTTAAAAAACAGTGATGAAGTTAGGGTAGTGTCAAGTAAAGTGGAAGCTAAGTTGGGAGCAATCTTAGAGATGCAAAAGAGAAATTTATCAAAAATGTTGTAAATTATAAGTAACCTAAAAGAGAATAAAGGCAGAAAATGAAAAGAGTTATCAAGTGTCACAGAAAATAAAACTTACTCAAGTGGCTGCATCGCAACGAACGTTTACTAATTTCATTACACCAACCCCCAGATGACGATACAGCAAAAGATGAAAATTTCTTACTTAATTTTTGGTTTTGGCATGTTTTCCCCTTTTTCTTGCAGTTTGCCATTGTGCTTCGTAGTATTTGGATTTTTGCATATGCTTATTCCAAAGTAAATATGGGATGAAGTTTAAAAGTGCTATTTCTAAATTTATTTTGCTTTATATATATAATTTTAGAATTAGAATTTAAATTAGCAATAGTCTAAAACCTTTGTAGAGACATTAGGTATTTTTTGGAAGCAGGCAAGATGAAAAATGAGCAATTGCCTTCGCCGGGAATCTAACCAAGGACCTCTGAAATACATGCCCAGCGTGCAGAACCACTACACAATGAAGGCACACTAGGAAGGCGGGAGAAATACCTTGTATACTCCCCCTTTTAAAGGTCGACTGGAGTTTTTAGGTTACCCAGTCGCCAAATCCTAAGTGAGGAGAATCATCATCCAACATCCTTTTAGTTTGGGTGCCACTGTAGAGACATTAGGTATTTTTTGGAAGGAGGCAAGATGAAAAATGAGCAATCGCCTTCGCCGAGAATCGAACCACGGAGCTCTGGAATACCGGCCCAGCGTGCAGAACCACCACAAAGACACGCTAGGAAGGCGGGACAAATACCTTATAACTTCATTTTAATTTGGGTATTTAACCTCTATGTTCTAAAACCAGCAATGGCTTAATATCTTTTTCTGGACTGCATCATTTCTAGATTAATCCATATCATATGTCTTTTGCGTAAGGTGATGACGTAGCTAAATCGGAACTTAAACTTTCCTGCTTTCCTTTCACAACTTAAAATTTCCAGCTTTTTAACTTATCTTTGATCATAACCTTCTTTTAATAATTTAAACTTTTATTAATAAGTTGCCATATTTGATAACTACGTACTACCTCAGTTGGCGCTGAGACGCTGTCGCGCTGTCTTCTTCCTATCGCAACAATATTGAAAATGTAAATGTTTCGGACATAATCACGATTTATGCTTCCTCCTCAAGTAATTGCGTGTTTTACTTGATACATATTTAGCATTCATTTAAATTATTTCTAATTGAATTATTTCGCCATTTGAGTGAAGTGAAATAGTAAATACTGCTGATTTTGGTATCTGATGATATTTTGAGTTTACATTTACAGCAACTTTCAATTTTGTATTAAATATCTGTTTTTCCTTCAGTCTTAGTTTTATTGCCTTATTGGACCTTACTGATTACACTTATAATGCTTCTAACAATATTATGTTGTGGAATGTTTGAAATGTAAGTTGATACTAAGCGGCTTTAAGTTACTATTGGTAGTTCTAGAAGATATTTCTGCACTGTATTCACAGACAATGTCTTACTTGGACCAGAAAGTAAAGTAAATAATAGCATTGCTTTGAAAGTTTTCTTGCATGCGCTTCAGTTAATTTTTGTTATCCTGTAAACCCTCGCTAGTTCTTTTTTTATTTAACAAGCGCTAGCTCAGTTCTGATTAATTTAAGCGAATGATTCGTCTGAAAGGCTGAATTACTTAATTTTCAGAGCTCAGGGAGGGAATAATAATAACGGTCAGCGTCACTACCAAAGTTATCTTTCTAACTTTTGAGAACCACATTTTCATATACGCATATCTCATTATCTACCGAAGTAACTTTAAGCTTTTTGCAGTTTGAATCTCCATCAGTAAATTACTTCGAATCTGGATTCACATTTACGTTACCTAACATCCCGCAAGAAGAGGGAGATTATTTGTAAGCACAAGCCGTGCATTGTTAAATTAAAATTTAAATAAAAATACTTGTTTAAACCTTCTTCGGATTCTGTTGTTACTATAACTGATGGGGCGATAATTCATCTGACAATCTCAGTAGGATACAAGTTAATTTAATCAAAGAATGGAAACCTACACACCTTCTTCTCGCCTTATATCCTTTTCAAGTCGCAAATGAAGGTACATGATACATGATCCTGACAATTTAGCAGTGAAGATAGCACGAAACTGTCTGTTCAAACAATATAAAATCATTGAAGACGCATAACCTCAATTAAGTCCGGAGTTGAGAAATACCTCTAAGGGAATTAGAAAGCAAAGAATAATGAAATGAGATCATTATTTCTTAGGCAAAAATTATTTGATCGGTTTGAGAATACTCCATTTCCGCAATGAATTAAAATGATTCAGTATAAAAATCATCAATTGAAGAAGCAAATGCATGCCTTTACTGAGAGCGAACATGCAAAGAAAATACATGGAAAAATACAAAATGTATGTTCAAATACGAAATGAATAAAGTCGGTGTACGTGAAAACCCACTGCTTTTATGCATGCGCCTGAAACCTACCTAAGTCTTTGCTTTGTGGAAGATGGTACATGTGTGGGAAAGGAAAGCGCCCTCCGAACCCTAATCGCTTAAGGTAGAACCATACATTATATAAAAAGATTTCAGTGTGCTATATCGGCTCTTAAAATTTGTTCCATTATTTTTAAGTCACCCTGTAGACAAAATACTCGCAATTTTTTGAAAACTCACAACATTTTATTTTTTTGCCTCTGTTGCTTAAAAAAAAAAAAAAAAAAAAAAAAAAAAATAGTTAATTTCCTAGTATCCTTATAAGGTATTTCTTCCGACTTCTTAGCATGCCTTCGTGGTGTAATGGTGTCAGTACACAAACTCGGAGCTTATTCGAGAGGTCCGTGGTTCGAGTCCCGACGAGGGCGTTGCTCATTTTTCATCTCTTCTGTTTTCAAAAATACCTAATGTTTCTACAGTGGCGCCCGAGCTAAAAATGATGGGGGATGATGATTCTCCTCACTTAGGATTTGGCAACGGGGTAACCTAAAAACTCCAGTCGACCTTTAAAAGGGGGAGTATACAAGGTATTTCTCCCGCCTTCCTAGTGTGCCTTCATGGTGTAGTGGTTCTGCACGCTGGGCATGTATTTCAGAGGTCCTTGGTTAGATTCCCGGCGAAGGCAATTGCTCATTTTTCATCTTGCCTGCTTCCAAAAAATACCTAATGTCTCTACAAAGGTTTTAGACTATTGCTAATTTAAATTCTAATTCTAAAATTATATATATAAAGCAAAATAAATTTAGAAATAGCACTTTTAAACTTCATCCCATATTTACTTTGGAATAAGCATATGCAAAAATCCAAATACTACGAAGCACAATGGCAAACTGCAAGAAAAA